TTGGCAATGACTGCCCCAGCAAACTGCAGGCTACGAGGCTCAAACAAGCCCATCAGCCTACGTAAAAGTATGAAGCATCTGAAGTCCTCAGAAGGGAGTTGAAAACCCAGGTCTGAGCAGCTCATTCACAAGGCCCTCAATTCAGTCTTTCTGTGCCCTCCTTTGATCTCTGGCCCTGTCTCATTGTCTCGGTAGAAGTTCATGAAAAGGGTCGGAGCCTCATGGAGCTAAAGGCGGTGCTGCTGTCAGTGTGGAGCCTCCCGGAGTCCGAGCAGCGGCAACTGTTACTTAAGCTCCTCGAGAAGTTCCCCTTCAATGCATCCTTAGAGGCTTGGTGCGATCAAGATCACGTGCCGGATTTCTCCGCCCCTCGACCACGCTTCAAGTCCAACTGCGCTGACGTTTGCCTTCGAGGGCGGGGTGCTGACTCGGTGCTTGGGTGCCCTTGGTGCCGCCGACCCCTTGCGATTTCAGTCGAGATACCCCAGCCTCTCCACTGCACAGACATAACCACCACGAGACATGCATATGCAACGCTCTTGTACGGTGGTGAATGCCACAAGTACTTCTTGGGCGCTTTGGTCGTGGCTGAAGGTCTCCGCAAGTTTGCAGCAGAAAGTCGTGCAGGACAGATATTGCCTCTCTTGCTTCTGCATACATATGATGTCCCGGACGCATACATTGAAGCATTGACAAGAGCCGGATGGAAGTGCAAGGAAGTGGAATACATATACAAAGGTGTGGCGAAGGCTTTGTTCAAGAACTACCATTATAGCCGCTTCCTGGGTGTTTTTACGAAGCTGCGTGCTCTTGAGCAACACGAATACGAGAAGGTTCTCTTCCTGGACTTGGACATACTTGTCCGTGGCGACCTTGCGGAGGTTTTCAAATTGCGAGCACCAGCTGCAATGAAGCGTGGTGAACCTGTGATGGAACATGGAGATTTGGTTCCCTATGCGACTCTGTGGGGTCATCCTACAAGAAGAGAAGCAGATCGACTTCCACAACATCAGCAAGCGTCTGGTATTAATGTCAAGGCCTCAGCCTCACAAATCTTCAGATGATAATGCTGCATTGCTGCAGAATGTCGTGTCTTGCTAGTGACGCGCCCCGGATCAGCCTGTTTCGCGACGTAACTGCTCTAACTCAGGCCGGGGTCATGCTGCTGAAGCCTGACCAGGTGGTTTTCGAAGCCATGCGCTCTGAGATCTTTGACTATGAACATCCCGAGCATTACGAGACTTATATGCCGGAGCAGGAATACCTTTCACGCTTCTATGGAACATTTGACAAGTGGACGCACATCTCTTGTCAGTACAATTTCGAGATTGATAAGAACGAGCGGATTCCACACGACTTTTCGATGGCCCATGAGAACATCCGGAATGGAGCTGGCCATAAGGGTGCGGTCGTTCTGCACTACTCGGGCGCCTCACCTCCACAAAACTGTAGACTCTTCCCAGATGTCAGTCATTAACACTTGTCGGGCGGGAGGGCACTGCTACATGAACCGTGCCGCATGCCCGTCCAAGAGGTGTACGTTAAAGAGCTGCCCAGGTACCTCTATCAAACCCTGGGATCTCCTCTATAGCGAGGCAAAGCTACGTGTGGACTCATTCGAGGACACAGCTCAGTTGCTTTGTGCCAGATTTTATTCCAGCTTTCTTGAGCGCTTCTGAAGGCAGTACCGGCGAAAAGCCCGAGTGACCCTAGTGCAGCAAAATACATCTTCTAGATCTCGTGTGTGATCCTCAGGCTTTCGCCGGAAGCGACAGTGATTGGTCTTCCAGCAAGTTATCGCTGACGTAGAATCAGGAAGCTGTGTTTAGACTCCGTTTCGATCGCGAGTAGCCAGTGTGTCAGGATGTCACACGCCTGCATCAGCAGCTCCGATTGGAAGGGCCTGGCGATCGATTGAATGGGTACAAAGATGGGGATCGCTTGTGGGATGCCATGTTGGAGTGGCTGGAGCAATTCGAAGCCTTGGTGAGGCGCCTGGCTTCGGATGGTGTGGACATTGTAGATATCGTAAAAGTCCAGGTGGGAGTTTCAGAAAAGAAGAAACACGCTTCCCAAGTAACTGGATGCTGATCAGGGCCACTGAGAGAAACCCTCAGGTTGAGAAGGCGGAGGAGGCTCAAGCACGGAAGCGAGCTGCTGAACAGGGCGAAAGCGAACAGTGGCAGAACGGATACGGGAACTGGGCCGATCGGTGGCACGTTCCTGTGAATCATCATGATGCTTCTGAAGGACGCGGGTGTTCTTCTTCCATCCTTCTCAAAACTAGCAGCATGATGAGACAGTTTGCATGCACTGTGACCAGAAGAGTATGACTTCTGCGCATGACCTGCGAAGATGCCTTGCAGGAGATGTCGAGGTTTCTCGGGCAGTGGCAATTGCAGAGAAGAAGCGGAAGAAAAAGAGCGTTGCCTCAAAGCAGCTGAAGCCTGCACTAGCCGGGAGGGGATAAAGGGGCGGGGGGGGGACAACCGTGGCCTGTTGCCACATGGTCGGAGCCAAGCCAGTGGAGAGCTGTGCTTTGTCAATTGACGTTGTGCAGGAGAGTCAGCCACCCCCACCACCAGCACCAGCAGAAGCGGCGCCTGCCCAGCAGCCGCCAGCACCGGCTCAGCCGCAGCCACCTTCACAGCAGTTGCCGCACCCTCCGCCGCAGCAGCTGCCACAGCCGCCTGCACAGCGGCTGACTCCGAGTCCCAAGGAGGCAGCGAGCTTATCAACTTGATAAGCTAGATTGAAAGTGGGATGGGTCAACATGCGCTGCAAGTGACTCGCCAGCAGGTCAAGTCAGACGAGCCTTGGATGGACGTTCGCGGCGGATCCCTGGACGAGGTGCAGTGTGCGGTAAGAAAGTAGATCAATAAGTCTTGACCGACCGGCAGACTTCTGCACTTTCTATAGCGCAGTATGGCGATGCAGTCTTCGGCAATGCTGTGCGCGCCTTCCAATGTTTTCAGAAACCAGGACAAGCCCTTTGGCGCAGTGGGATTATATAGCCGCAAGATACTCTTGGGCAGCCTTGCCGAGGGGACGAGAACGCGAGAAGCATTGCGTGCGAGCTTGTAGCAGAGGTGCCTGATCATTGTCTCCCGCTCAGGTGAAGGCCGAGCTTGTCAAAGCTCGTGGTCAGGTTTTCAAGATTATGCAAGACAAGGACCTGCCATGATTCGGATAGGTCGTGACGGCGTGGGCATGCCTGCTCAGACAAATCTATGCTGACGCCGAGGATGATTTGGGCAATTTGCTGGATTGTTGTGCAGGAGCAGCTGCAGCACAAACTGAACCGAATGGAGGGCCGGCACGTGCCTTGGCAGCAGTTTGCGAGCCGACAATCTTTGTCACCAAAAGAACGGCTCTCCCGCCGTTTGCGGACCATTGCTGTAAAGCAGATTCCAGAAAGTTGGAATGTCGTCCTCATACCCTTTCCAGGTACAGAAAGAGGAACCCTAGCACTAGTCATCCCTTATGCATCATCCAGCTTTCACTGAGTTTTGAATAGAGATGGTCGGCATGAGATTCTTTTCGTCACGTCGCGGCATTCTTCCACATATCGAAGTGCTTGCAGGCCAACCTTCCTGGTCACATCGACGAGGTTGACGGGGAGGCTTGGCTTCGTCAGACTCTCGCAGGATGGGGAAAGTCGAAGCCTGTTGAAACTAGCAATAGCTGATTTCACTCGTTGTCGGAAAAAGAAGCACGAGTGACTGCTGGCGAGCTGTCTTGAAGGTGAAGCATGTGGACATGGAGCAGGACGCCTGTGTTTGCGAAGCATGACTGGAGCTGCTATGCCACATAGGCCCAGTCCACATGTCGGCCTGGAACAGGCGCACCAGCACATCCTGTACTTGGAGATGAAGGTAAAGGCAGGGGCAGAGCTGGAAAAGAAGAACGAGGACGTTAGAAGCCTTGCCTGGGCGTAGAGCAAAGATCGGGCTAACGCAGCCGAAGATGATTTTGCAAGAGTCTTGTTTTGGCCACCCAGGGTTCGTGTTCTACATGCGTTATGTGTTCAGATTTTCTGAATGTGCTGTGCCGCTTGAACATGGGAAAGCATCACTGCACGTGCTCGATTTAGGGCCTTGAACGCTGCCTATCTTAATCCGAAGGCACGAGCACGAGGACCTGTAAATCTATGAACTCCTCGACTGGCAGGAGCTGGAAGGAAAGCTCAGAGACGCTCAGTTGCTGGCAGATCAGCGGAACCAGCAGCCGAGCCTTAATCTCGACCTTAGAACGCCGGCAAGTCCGCTCAGTCTCAAGTGCATTCGCCACTGCCGCTTTTCTGACTGAGTGTCTTCATATAGATAAGCAGACTTTGACGGGCCGAGGAAGCCGGCGGTTTGCGAGGTGATGTGAGTGCAGAGCTGTGGGCGACATTGGTGGTTGTAAAGTCACTGTGCCATGTATTCCTCAGCGACGAACCAGTAAAGGATTTTGCGCTGAAACTGTTTTTTATGACCACCGTTGTGCCCAGCAACAGAAATAGTACACATAGTTTTACTGACGCTCTTGACGGGACTTCCCAGACGGGACAGACTCGCGGTCACTACGAATCATCATTGGCCGTTTGATTGCCCAGGGCTTAAAACAGGCTTTGGGCAGTGCCAGTCGCGGCACTTTAGGCTTCGACTGCCGCAGTGAAACCTCACTCGACGAGGCATGCTCGCCGATTGTACCTTCCAGTTGTGACTGCAAATACATGTCAAGATAAACGGACTCTTTGAATTATGCTAGTTATACCTTCACATAGTCTTGGCTGTTTGGCTGTTGTTCCGGAGTGGATACATACAGTGTCGACATGAAATCCTGTGCAGTGAGTCACAACATGATCGGAAAGGGCGCTTGTCGAAGCACTTCGGCGAAACAAGTTGAAGCAGTTGTGAATGGTTTTGAACGCTGTTTGGGTCGCCGTCTTCTGCATGATGGCAGTAGGTCCTGCTTGCAGAGCCGGTTGGATTTTCCTTTGTGATTTCGGTTGCAAGGTCTGCATCAGATGCTCTTCGTCCAGACCTTGGTGGGAAGTATGGGCGCATGATGAGCAAATCGGAGACACGCAGCAAGCTAGCTTGCATGGTCGCCATCTCAATCCGGATGCAACCCCGGTTTCTGATCGTTGCGGGTGGAGTGGAGCGAAAGCATCCTGCTCGTTGTTCCAAGATGTAGGACCTGTAGGATCCCACGATGATTCCAACACGTTGACGACAGGGCGAAGTTTCGCTTGGCCCTTCCTGCAGCTCCTCACCCGAAGGACCTGCACTGCTACGCCTCCAACATGTGGCTATTTCTGTGAAGCCGAGACACCTTAAAACTCGTAAAGTTCCATAGAGGACGCCCATGCTGATCGGAGAACAGATCATCGGCAGCAGCCTCACCTCACCTTGAAGAACCTTTTGGGAACTGGTCGTGGTGTTCGATTGAAGAAGTTGTCGGCCGTGGAGTTGTAGTCGCCCACTTTGAGAATGTTGCTTGCTGTGTTGGAAGGCTCTTCAAGCAGCAAGGGTCATCACTTCCTTGCCGTGAGATTTAGCATGTGTGCCCACAGAGACCGAGTGTTCTACCTCAAGCCAGCTTATGCATTCTTGCGACTCTCGCAAGGCCAGCCGGCCGAAAGATGCTTCCGACATGCGTCGATGCCTTTGTGCTGCAGAGCATCGGGCCGTCTTGCGTAAGATGCCAGACGGGGCACATGTCGTAGATCCTTCTTGACTTCTTGGTGGTAGTGTAGTCTTCGCCAGACTTGGTCGGACACATGTGAAGGTATTGGGGCTACAAGGGCGTGACGCTGTTTGGTGGATGCCCGAGAGGTCTTGTTTGCGTTCAGCAAACGTCCTTTTCACGTCCGAGATGTGCAACGGGTGCACAAGCGCAGCCTGTCTGTCGCAGAAGTATACTTCGACACTAAGGAAGGGACAAAGGCGGCCTGAGCCACGTTCCTAGTGTGCCCAGCACAAGCAAGTGTGCAGCGGAACCTCACTGAAGCTCCCTGGCCGGAGAACTGCGAGGCACATCATCCTCACGACTTGCAGTGGATCGTGTGCGCTTGCCTCAGCTCCCTCGCAAGTGTAGATAGAGGCTCCCAAAGCTGCGTCTGGAAAGCTTTCCAGATCTGCGATGAGTTTGAGATATTTTGAGATCTTACCTCGGAGTGGCATCCACAGTTACGAGAAACTGTCGGCCAGAGGCGTACCTGTAATTGGAGATCTCGCCGGCACAGCCACTGCAAGATCTAGCAAGTCGTGAGTGCCGTTGTTGCGGCAAGGGCTGCTGGCTTCTCTGCGATGGGCGTGTCCGTTTCTGCATGGAGTCCGACTTCCAGGCTTGGAGGGCCGAGGGTTTGGCAGGGTCGTTCCTCTCCAAAGACAGCTTCCTTGGAGCCCAGCAAGGGTTCTTTTGGTCCCTGCAAGGCTTACAGCAGCACCGAGTTACGCCTACGCCCCACTGTGGGATAAACTTGTAGTTGAGTCTCTTCCATAGCTCTGAAATGAGCTCAGTTCTGCATGGCGTCAACATTCATCGGCAGCTCCGCCATGTGCCAGGACGAGTCACGATCGCGCAGCTTGGTCCAAAAGGAAGTGGTTATGGAGTTGTTTCTCAGCACAAGCTATATATTAGAGCCTTGATCCTGCAAAGTTGGCAGTCAAGCCCATGCAGGGACTGGCAAGGTCTGCTGCAGCATGTCTGCACATACGACGGGACAGGAGAAGTCATGCAGAAATATGCAGAACATGGCTTTTGCCATTCGGCACGAGCAGAGGCAAGAAGCTGGCACATGCTGCTCATCGAGCGACGGCCGCCTGCACGGGCCCCCAGGGAAGCTCAGGCAATGCACAAATCGTCTTGGCGAGACGTGCCATGATTCAGTCAGAGAGGTACCTGGAGGACGCCATGGTCTAGGGCCTAGGGCATTCCACAGTCCACAGATTTATCAAACAAATTCAAGTCCCTACGGAGAGGTGAATGGCTCGTGCTGTCGACATTTGTAGCATTATGTGCAATGGCGTTCAATGTTGTTGCTTTGATGCTCGAATCTAGAAGACAGGCACTGGTTGAGAGGTCAGACCAGTGCCTCGGAGCCTGCTTGGGCGGGACTGCCAAAGCAACCAGCTCACAAGCTGTATAGACATATATAGGTATATATATATATATATCTATAATATCTTTACATATTACAATTTATATTACGTAGTATATATATATATATGTATACACATAGTTATTGTTATTAGTATTCTTTCTCAGCCTTTGGGTGAACTCATGTTCCGGAAGCCTCTCTCGCTTGATCTGTCAAGAACTCCAGGTGCTGCTCGGAACTATCAGAGTTGGATGCACTTAGCCAGAACGAAGACGGGACCCCTGATCAGTGCACAAGATTGCAATTATCAATGGAACCCAGCTGTCGCACAAGTAGCTGCACAAAACCGAGCATCAGACGGACGAGGTGAGAGGCTTGTGACTTGAAAGTGGTGGACGCAATGCTGTCACAGCTTCGTAAAAGTATCTGGCTTGCGTCTCGTTGGAAGCCAGTTGTGGCCCAAAAGCCGCCAATCAAGGTGTGCAATGTGCTGTGGCAGATGTGCACGAATCAGAAATACCAAGTTCAATGAGTCTAGCACTGTTGCACATCTTTCCGAGAAAAAGGAAGTTCTGTACTCCTGGGAAAACAAACGATTTTCAATTGTTGTTGGCGGAAGTCTTGTGGATGATTGCTCTCCTTGCTAGCGGTAGAATACTGCGATCAAGCCAAGGTTGGCGAAGCGAAAAGGCCAAAACCCGCATAGTTTTCCCGTGAGGTTTGACGAAGGAACCCGACGCAGGCCTGTACAAGTCATGCACCGCAGCAAAAGCACACAACTGTTTGGTGCGTGGGACAGCGCAGGATCTGGTGCGAAGGCCTGTGCAGATGCAAGAGCAGTTAACAACGTGGGAGAAGAAAAAACATGCATGATGTGCAGCCATCAAGTAGCACACCCAGGAAAGAAATTCAGGTTCATTTGTGGAATGCCTAACAAGCATGCCGAATGGATTTGAAACTGCAATGCTCGTTAATGTCGAAGCATTGGACGAACGCAACTCATGAATCATAGAGGTCTCCCTAACCGTGGAGCGAAGGGACTTTGACTGATGGTGGTATCAACACATTTCGCCGGCACGCTAGCTCAAAGCAGCCAGAGCATTCCGACACAAAAGGGTGGCCATGAACTGAAAGTGGGCCAAGAAGTTCGCGTGCTTGATCCTGTTTGGACTTGCATCGCCTAAGGCACGACGTGCGCTTGTTAACAGCAATCAAGTCATAAGTTGGCTCTGGCCTCAGTCTCATTCGTTGGCAGGTGCACCAAGAACTTGTGGTTCGTGAGCTGAAGAATCAGATTGAACTTTCATTATAAGTTGTATGATTCGTACTTTCAGTGTTATTACTAGAATCATGATTACTACTTACTACTAATCTTAGAGCTATTTCATGGGCAGGGCTGCTCGAAATTTAGTACCAGACGAAGTCCAGGCTTCGCTCGGGCCTTCTTCGCCGCCGCCGGGATCTCAACCTTCAATGACATGGAGGCACCTTTCTTGGCTCACAAATGTCAGGCGCAACAGCTTTTTGGGCAGACTTCGCACATGAGGCTTGGCTGGAGTTTGCGTGTTGAATGCAGCGAAAGGAAGGCAGCCCCCTGCTTTTGTTGTCTCACACTGCCCCCGCAGGATCTGAAGTCAGCCTCCAAGTATTTCTCCAAATGTGATGTGTATGACTGATGGATAGATTCATGCCGAGGTCTGATGTACGACGGCAATGGCAGCTGGCATCTTCTGCGAACATCCTTATAGGCAGCAAGAGCTTTGCTGTCCATGCTGTCGAGTCTTGTCGGAGCCAAGATGGGACAGGCATAGCGAGGTGGGGCATCATGTTGCCGGAGGAACTTTGTCGCCACACACTCGAAGAGCCGGCTCAACTTGGCAGGCGCCCACGGAGCTGGCCTCGCTTGGGGGGCATTCATGCCGGTCTAAGCCACAGTCGCAGATGCAATTTTTTCGCCTTATCAGAGCATTCGTGCAGCTTGCTGGCAGGGCCACTAAGGCACTCAGAAGATCCGGCATGGTGGATTTGCTTTTGTTTGGCCTGTGGTTGGCTCGACCTTGTGACAGGCAGTAGTTTCACCTAGCTAGTAGGATCCAGCACCGGCGCGACGGCGTTTGCTAAGCAGCCTACGCATCTCACGTCTATGGCCGATATGGTCCCGAGTAGAACCCAGACCTTGCAACTTTGTGTTTGCAGATCCGTTTCAAACAGCAGAAAGAGTTGCTCGACAAGCACAAAGAATTCTCGACAGCCCTTTGGGAAGCCGCCATGGATGATTCAGACGATGGCGAGGTTGATCCCAGCACGCCTCCGCCTCCGCCCCCTCCTCCACCTGAGGAGCGTGAGCGCCGCCCATCCAACGGCAAGGGAACAAAGAGCCGCGAAGTTGCACCGGGTCCGGTAGTCCTGCTGCCCATAGCAGCGATAGCAATGGCAACAGCTACCAAAAATGATTTCTGAGCAAGGTGAACGCCTTGAGAGGCAAGCCGCAGAGAGGCCATCCGCTGAGTCGACACGGCTTTGGTTCCTCCTCCAGGCGGATTCTAATCGATGGTGTCAGTTTTGTCGAAGGGGCCGGGACGCGGGGTGTTGCCAGCAAGTGCTTGTACACAGCCGAAGACAATTTGTGGAATGCATAGAAACCCGAATGCAGCAGGAGAAGAAGAACAAAGCAGTGGCTGATTGGCTCAGTCATGCAGATGGACAGAAAGAAGCCCGGGGCCAAGAGGTTTGGACCCTAGACTCGAAAGGGCGGGCAGTTTGTCCCCGCATCGGCTCAGGTGAACATAAAGGATAGAGCCTTTGGTTGGACCCCTGTGCACTTTGCAGCGCATCTTGGTTCCAGTCACTTGGTGAAGCTGCTGGTGGACGGAAAAGCACATCTCGACACCTCGTGCAGCGAAGGCCTGGGGCTTTCTTACTCTCAACAGGCTTGCAAGTAGCCCTGTCATCCGTTTACAAAAGACTGGCCTGGCATGGCTGCACAGCCTAGGCAACACGCCACTTATGTGTGCTGCTCGGCAGAATAATACCAGCGCCACGAATTACTTGATTGCCAAAAAGGCAAATCTGAATTCTGCTGCTTGGCAGCAGATGGCAGAGTCTGTGTTTGCTCGGGCCCGTGCACATAAGCTCTCCCGACATGCAGTGTATTTTGGTGTATGTGGTGCAGGTAAATAACAATGGCTGGACAGCACTGATCTGGTGTGCCATAAATGGTTGTGAAGATGTCGCGACGGCATTGCTGACATCCAGTGCAAACTATCTCAAATCCGAGCCCTGTCACTTCTCATTAAGCCGTAATTTAGTTGCTTTGAGAAGATCTAGCATCATGGGTCGGAAGGCTTTGCGGCTTCACAGTCGCCAGGAGAAGGCGCTGCTCTCGTAGGGTGGGGGAGGGGGGGGGGCAATCTGAAGCCAAGTCAACCAAGGATAACGAGGGGCGAACTGCTTGTATGTGGGCAGCCCGCCACGGGCACCTATCCATGGTGGAGACTCTTCTGGCCAATGGGCTGAACTTGCTGCAAGCAGACGAAGCTGGTCTCACAGTGTACGACCACGCGCAGGAGCAGCTGGAGATGCGAAGCATGATTGCAGCCGTTCAGGAGGTGAATGAGGAGCTCCAAGCTGCAGCCAGGAATAATGACTATGATGGTGTGAAGCGAGCGATAGAAGAAGGTGCAAACCTCAACGTAGAGGATGAGGACGGTTGGACCCCTTTGATGTGGGCGGCGTTGCATCAATCCCTGGATATGGTTCAACTGGTCATCCGGCACGGAGCCAATCCCAACCTCATTGATGAGCGAGGGGAGGTTCTTCAAATGCTCAGCACCGACCACTTAGCAGTGGGCGACTCTGTCGTGGAAATAGTTGGGAGCAACGAGCGGTTGCTCGAGCACGCAAAGGCCGGAAGACCCAAGCTGCTACGGCTCGTGCTAGGTTTATAAGCTTCACACAGCTCGGCAAAGCTACCTAATTTCAAGCTACAGTAGGTCGCTGATGCCGAGAGTGCACTCATACTTCTGGGCATCCAAGTGGTTTGAGGTTGAAGGGCTTCAGCACTCATCGAGTGGAGACGGACGGAGAGGGCATAGTTACATAGTTGTCACGATTTCGTCCGGCAAGGCCGGGCGCTGGCAAGAGATCGACGCCGAGCTTGCCATCGGAGCTTGGGCTGCCTGTCTTGCACAACTTGTAGCAAACACCGGGACAACCGGCCGGGTGATCTAGTGCTCTAGCATGCCTGTTTTGCTGAATGCTGCTGCAGCCATGGGACAAGGAGCTTGGACCGAAACGAACGACTTTTTGGCCCAATTCCCGGCCTTAACCGGGGGAGCCCGAACATTTTGTCAAGGCTGATATTTGCATAGTGCAGTTTTGCAGCTCTGTCGCCGTGTTCGACACACTGTCTCTGGATTCGGCCAAGGGGCTCTATGAATTTAGGTTTCGAAGAGGGATAGAAGATGTGACCGCATGCCAGTCTCGATAGAAAAGCCGGTTTGACTGCAGGTTAATGTCCGCGATGAGGCACGACGTACTGCACTCCTGTGGGCCGCGCGGCATGGTGCCTGCGAGGCGGTAACGACGCTTGCTGGAGATTTCAAGTCTGAAGGCACACAGCCAAAGGCCACGGGATTTTCAACAATGCAACAATGAGCTTTCGGCATTCTGAAGACAGAAATTGAAAAGATAGGCTTACGCGCTTCATCCGAATAGGTGACCAAGCACGGCCCTGCGGTGATGTGGTCGATTTTCTAGGCTAGGGCCGAAGCACGGGGCCTTTGTGATGTAATTCCCAAGCCGCAACGACAGAGCATGTCATAGTCCGTGCCCTTGTGGCAGCTGGCAGCAGCATGCAGCAACGCAAGATGATCACTGCAATCACGAAAAACCACTGGGTGGTCACGTCCTTTGCTGTTGCCCAGGAATCTGGTCAACAAGAATGCCGATTTAGATGCCCGTGACGAGTGTCCTGGCGTGGACTAGGGATGATCACACCACCTGTTTTTGTTTTGTTAGTTTCGCCATGTCAGCCTAGAAAAGCAGTACTTTCAGGCCTGCTGGTCCCTCTTGGTTTTCATTTTGCCTCCGAGCGGGTTCCGTGTTTCATGAGGAGTGGGTGGCTTCCTGTGCATTGGGCAGCCCAGTCTGGAAACGTACAGACCCTCTGCAACTTGCACTACCTCGGCAGTGACTTCACCTCCCGCACATATGTGGGTGAGACTGCGCTGCACATTGCGGCGCAATATAACGACGGAGCGATGATTCAAGCACTTCTTGCGTCCAACGCAGATATCGAGGAGTTGGATGTGGACATGAGAACAGCACTGCACATGGCTGCCGCAAATGGGCAGACAATCGCTTTGCAGACGCTTTTGTTTTACAAGGCGGATCCTGACAAGGTCGTAGAAGATGACTCTGGGGCAACAGCGTTCCTTCTGGCTGTGACTAACCATCGCGAAGCGGTTGTCCAAGCAATGCCTCTTTGAGGACGTTTCGGCATCAGATGATTGCGATAGTTTGTGTAGAAGGATCTTCTACCGACCGGTGACCACCTGCAGTTATGCTTCGACATTGTTCGACTGGTTCGAGTGATGATAGTTGCCAGACAGTGAGCTTCTTACTCCTTTCAAACGGTTCTGGAGACTTCTGTTCTCTCAGTCCCAGGCTGGCAGACATTCCAGCTCCCCCGAAGTTGCCGCATTTTCATGTGACCAGCCCCTTAGCAGCACAGAGGAGCCTGGCAATTGGCTAATTAACCTGTCGTGTGACTTATTTGGGCAGGCCCTGCTTCGCCGGAAAAGGCCAAGAAGACAAAGAACCTTCAGCCAGAACGCGATGCAACAAAGGGTGCTTCCTCAACGAGAGGAAGCCGTGGCAATGTCAAGTCCGCCTCATCGGCAAAGGCGGCAGCTTGTCTGAACTCTCGTGGGTTCAGTAGGTAGGTTTCTGGACGACCGCACCAGCCGTAGAGGCCTCGGGTCCTGCTGAGGTGGCTACCCCAACTCCGAAAAACAAGGTCGGGAGCAGGAAGAAACTGGTCAAGGACCGGTGAAGGATTTCGGCACGCCAAGCAAGTAAGCGGACTGGCGCGAAGCCGTCACCCTGTGCTTGGTGTCAGCCGTCAAGCGGGCTGCTTGCGAGGACCTACGGGAGAAGCGCGGCGAGCATCCCTGCGCTTTGCTGGAGACGGCGACTGAGATTCGCTCTAAACTGGCCAAGTGCCTAGGCTTGTATTTACGTAGTGCGGTGTCATCTGTCAAAGCAACATGATTCTCCAACGCTGATCCTGATTGGCATCTAAGGAACAACTTTCCGAGCATCTCAAGGAAGGTCCTCAAGCAAACAGACTGTGAACAAAGAAGTGCTCTGGCACTTGCAGTTCTCAACCGCAGCTCCAACATCATCCAAATTCTCATTGGTGCCAAGGCAGACCTCGAAACAGTCGATGCTCAAAACAACGGTATTTTGCACTATGCTGCTATGAACAGGGATCGCGAAGTGGTGGCCCTACTCATGGAGCTGAACGCCCGCATCGACCGAGAAAACACAGATGGTATGAAACCTTCAGATCTGTGTGAAGATGCAGATATCCTGCACATGATCGCTCGGAAGTTGGTAAGCAAGAAGCTTGCCAGCCTGCCTCCCGCGCCGCCGGCAACCCATCCGGCATTGGACGGAGGAAATCTGCTGGAGGAGTCCGCTCGAAAGCATCGGATCCGTTTCGAGGGATTGCAGGTCTCCCTTTCACAGGAGAACATAACTGAGCAGTTGAAGCTCTTTATCAAACAGCGGGGTGCACCAAAGGCCAGCCGAATTGAAGTTGCACTTGACCCGATTACGGCACGTCCTAAAGGTCATGCATACGCAGACTTCAGCGACATGTCGTCTGCCGATCTAGTTCTGCAGGGTGATGGTAAGCCCATTAATGGGCAACCGATTCGAGTTTTCTTTGAGATCCCGCTCCATCTGAGCCATCGCACTGATCGCTGAGCGTCCAAAAAGCAGCATGTCCACATCAAGAGCTTTGGAGATGTCTGGCAGACGGATCGTCAGTTCCAGCCCCCGGCTGCAAGCCAAAAGGTTGGAAGTATCATCATCGTTGGAGCCTCGGAGAGATGCCAAGAAAGAAGCTGAACAGCGAACTTGTAACACCTGCTTAGGAGCTGATGCCTCACATGCAGATACTGCACCAGCAGCTTTGCCGTGTTCAACCGGGTGCTAGCCTCAGCCTTGGCCAATGTCAGGAGTGGAGCGTTGCAGCTCCACGCACTTATCTAAATTTATGGAGGCTGCCGCTTCCCAGCTGGTGCAGGATTTGAGTCTGGGTTCAAAAAATGAGCGAACCAACTTCCCGGAAATCTTGGCATGCTGCGGGTTTCAATCTCTTCAAGCAGCTTGATTTCGGGCAAAATCTCTCGTTAGTTGTACGTCTTCTGCGCTTCATATCTCGAGCTTGCGCTTGCACAGCGCGTGGCAAGAAGCAAGCAAGCCATGAGGTGAAACGATGGCGTGGGATGCAACTCCAATGTATGCGCACGCGGCTGAGCCAACTGCTTGCACCGAGCTGAATGGATGAGAAGGGCTACCTGGAAACAGGAATGCGCAGTGTTGAAACTTACTGTTGCGTCGTGCTCGCCCTGCAAATCTCCGTCAGGTATGGGGGCCTGTCAACTTTATTCGGGACGCAGCCTAAACTTGAGCACTTAGAAGTACAGAAAGCTTGTTGTTCGTGATGCCCACAACTGAGCCTTTGCACACTGATAAGGTTGCACCATGCTTGCCTCATAGGCATGGCGCTTAAGTTTTGGCCGTGTCAGCTGAAGTGGTATTGCCTCGCTGCCGCGGCTGTTGTTCGCAAGATATGCCCAGACATGTACTAGAGGTATTCTGAAGTCTCTATCCACGCTACATTTCACTTTCAGGACTGCCAACTTCTCCACTAGCTGCCAGGCGCCTTCCTTGAGAGCTGATGCCCTGAACAGCCCTGGAACCAAAAGGAAAATCTAATTTGGGGTGGGTGGTATGATCTCCTGTTCTTTGCAAGCTGCTCTAGTTCACTGTTGTCTCAGGTCTGTTGTGAAGCCTTGCCTGCCTTCTGCGAGTGTCCCGACTCGAAGCCCAAATGCAGCAGGCAAAAAGTCTTAAACCCGAATCACTTCCCATTCCTGAGGCTTCCTGCCTCTCCCTAGGGTAATCTTTATGTCAAGATGATCTTATGGCTTTGTTTCATTCGTATGTCCTCGACGCCACGCTGAAGTGATTGTGGAAGCGCCTTGTTGTTTGAAGTCTCGGAACTAGGTATCTGGGCAGAAGGGACAGATGATGTATATGACCCGTTAGCAGGGTTTTGTTTGCATGGGGTAGGCTCTCTCTCTCTCTCGCGCAAGTCTTGCAGTCTCACCCGCGACAGACTCGCCATCCCATGCCTCGCTAGGATTGTCCGAACCACAAACCTTCCCTGATGTGCTAAGCTGCTAAGCCTTGCGCTGATTCTCGAAAGACTGAGACTGAAAGAGGGCCCGGAAGGGTGCGGTCATCGAGTGCAGGTCCTCCTTGGGCTCGGAGCTGGGCGGCTGGTGGTCATCAGACGTCTTGGCCAGCACCTTATATAGTCCCTTGTGCATGTTTTGGTGCAACGAGGACGAGTTGGCTGCGTTCTCAAACTGTTCTTCGTCTTCGCCTAGCGATTGGAACCTCCAGCGAACTTGAGCTGTTCCCCTATTTACCCTAGATATGACCCTGCATCGTAGGTTCGTCCTAGCCAGGCGGGAAGCAAAAAGCATAAGGACTTCGACCGTCGGTTGCTCTACTACATTTCATTATAACAACAACAACCACTACCACCACTTCAACTACAAGAACAACTTGTGCTCTACTAATACTAATATTAGTATTAATGCTAATACTCATACTAAAACAAGTGCTAATACTAATGCTACGACTAATACTACTACTGTGCTATGTTGCTACTACTACTACTGCTGCTGCTGCCACTACTACTACGACTACTACTAATACTACTACTACTACTACCACCACCACCGCCACCACCACCACCACCACCACCACCACCACCACCACCATGTGCTTTGTTATGGATCCTGCATCTCTGAATCCATTTGCCGATCAAGACCCCCCAGTGCTGTCGACGGCGCGCCAAGTGGGTGACAAAAACTACTACCACGACCACTGCTACTACTATTATTACTACTATTCCTACTGCTGCTGCTACTACTACTACTACTTCTACAACGACTAGTACTACTACTGCTATCACTACTATTCCTACTACCAGTACTACTACTTCTACTACTACTACTACTACTGCTACTACTACTACTACTACTACTACTACTAGTACTAGTACTATTACGACGACGACGACTACTGCTACTACTGCTACTACCATCACTTACTGCTGCCACTGCTAGTACTAGTACTACTGCTACCGCTACTACTACTACTACTACTACTACTACTACTACTACTACGACTGCTACTACTGCTGCTACTACAACAACTACTACTACTACTACTACTACTGCTACTACTGCTACTGCTACTGCTACTGCTACCACTCATATTACTACGACGACGATTACGGCTGCAGCTGCGGCTGCAGATGCGACAACGACTACGACGCCGACGACGATTACCTTTGTATTTACTAATATCAATACCAGTACTAACTAGTACAAACACAAACATCAATTCCAATTCTAGTCATGTTTTTGTCCTGGTTGAGTCGCTGCAGACCAGAGGCAAAAGAACCTAGTTTACTAGAATATTACAGTACGATACACTAAACTAGGTTCCATTACATCACATTACGGTATCCTGTGTGCTACTTGATCATAGCTCAGTATTAGTATAGTAACAAATGACGTGGAATTATGTTAGGTTATATTAGATCGACCTTGATTTTACATATTATTACAGCATCTGGCGCAAGCCATTATCAGACTCTTCATGATATGTGGTGGTGGTAGTGGTGCAGCATATTGTCAGCAGTTGGTGCCAGTAGTCGTCCGACCAGCGGTGGCTACTGTCAAGGGTCCGAAGCCAACTGGACGCCGGCTTTGCAGGCGAACCTCACAGCCTTGAACCTCACCTTGCTCACTGCATTGGACTGCTTGGAGGCGCCGTAGCGCCCTTAGAAGGCTTTGTACTGTAGTCTTTGCACATAGCCGCGCCTTCACATAGCCGCGCCTTGCTAGCTTGTCGCCGTTTGCTTCTGAACTGCAGAACTTTCTTAACCGAGTCGGCCGTGTTCGCTTCTCCGACTCTCGCTTGCCCAGTGACCAGTGGCACTTGCTGACAAGTAGGATTCACCCAGCGCAGGGAAGGAAGATCCCTTCGTGGTGGTGCTATCGACCTAGCATGTTCATTGTTGACACTGTGTTGTGTTTAAGCTGTTCTGGTCGGGGCTATGACATCGGTGCGGGTCGTACCAGCTGGAACCTTTTTGCGATGCCTGTCGTTTTGGGAGCCATTCGCTGCAACATGCTTAAGGGAATCCATCAACTCTTCCAATGAAGAGACGAGAGAGCGAGAGAGAGGGCGAGAGAGAGAGAGAGAGAGAGACAGAGAGGGGGACCCGCCACTGTTACGTTGTTGTATTTTGTCCATTGCAGTTGATGTTGCATCCGTATCTTTTTACCAGTGACGGGGCAGCCATATCTTTCTCCGAGCTTTGACTGTTGATGCCCTTTAAAGCCTCTAATCAGGGGCGCGACTCTGGGCGCGGGGGGGCTTAAGACGCCTCCTGAACCCCGTAGTGAAGTGAAGTGAAGAGACACGGACAACAGAGAAACACCTAAAAGCAAAGGGAGGTTTTCCAAACACATTTGGTCGCCTGTCGTTGTGCTACTGGCATCACACTCCGCATGTTTTCTGGTGGTATCAAGTGTTTGCAGTTCTGTTCTTCAAGCTTGGCCAATCCCGTCACAGTCAAGTGTTCTGGCGAGGCCTGGACGAACCTGCGAGCGTTGGTCAAAAGAAGTGCGACGTTGATGCGAGATATTGTCCCACCGTGCTGGGAAGCCTTGTTTCGTTCCTGTGCACGGTATGTTTAATCAGGATGCACCACCGTCGCGCCCCGGCGACGCCACAGAGGCAGGTGTTTGCTTGCTCGGCTTGTGCACAGACATGAATTGCAGAAGCACGTAGCTCCCCCATGCTCCCCCATCAGATACACAACTGATTGCACATTTCGGTTTCATGCGTGTGTATGTACGCATGTACACATTTACCGTTTCCAGATGGACAAACCTGTAAACGTTCCTCGCCATGCAGCCATGGCCGAACGTGATTTCCTGCCAGACCCAGATTCGTGACGGAAAGCAACAGAACCTGTCAATTCGCACTGAACACGTGCCAGGCGGGTGAGGCATGAAACACAAGAATTCATTCGCGAGTTCAAGAAGCACCTCGCAACGGCGGCAACACATTTGGGAGCAATCGAGCTCTGGCGAAATCTAGACATGCTGCAACATCCAGCATCTCCCACGGTGCTCCCATGCTGCACAATGCTGCGCAAACTGCAGGTTGCAGCGCTGCCAGGTGCTTGAGACTAGCATCTATCCAGGTTTCGGGTTGTCTTGATCAGCAAAGAAACAGCTCACTACGAAATGTGTGTACGCACAAACTTTTATGCATGCTCGTGAAGTACTGTTTAAGAGATGAGTGTACTTGCAAATATTCGGCCATGTCAGAATGTAAGATGAGTTTTTGCGCATGTATGTATGAATGTATGTGCTGTTTGTCATATGTATGCCTGTGGGGTTAACTCGGTTTGAATGGTAGACCTGCACCTGTTTGGTGGCATGTAGATTATCATGTACAGTATGCACGAGGTGTGTAGCCGTCTTACGTTCAGAAGCCGGGACGAGACAAATGTGTATCAGACGTGGCGTGAAGAACATGTCCAATGTATGCTCTATCGGCCATGGAAATGGCACAAAAAGGCTGCATGTGTTGATGAATCAATC